TTATTTTCCGTCGGGCCAACTTCCGGGAGCCATAAGAGTCAGCCTAAGAGGGGTGTTTCGTCCTCGACAGACGTTGGGGAGTTTCAACCTTTATGAAGGTGGTCTCCACATTCCCCCCCCCTTTTTCGAGGCTTCTTCTTGTTTGATTAGGCAAGAGAAGTCTTCGTGGGGTAACCGGAACCCGACCGGCTGGCGGTGAGTTGAACCACCTTTTTTTTTTCACCAATCTTCTGTGCGTGTGTGCGGGTGCGCCACTTCCGCCACCCATTGCCAGTTTCGAGTTCGATAGACAACTGGGTCTAGTGCATCGTTTCTTGGCCAACCCACCGTTTTTCTTTTTTCCGTACTCCGGAAGAAAATTAGGTGAGCAGCGGGTTTTGAACCCGTGTCATTTGCAACCAAAAGCAGATACGCTGACATCTCTTCGTCGACGCCATTGTGGAAAAGAGGGTTTCGTCCTCGACAGACGTTGGGGAGTTTCAACCTTTATGAAGAAGGTGGTCTCCACAGTGCTCCCAATCCCTCCAAAACATCTCCGAAAGGCTATACATCTATCTGATAGATCTACAGTTAGTTGGCGCCCGCAGTTAAGAAACAAACGCTTATTCTTTCAGGTCCAGCCTCGAATTCTTATTGTGGGCCATAAACTCAGCGTATTTCGTTCAGTTGCTTATTTCAAGTTCCTTATTTTTTCGTGCAGCCAAATCCTCCTGAATTTCTTTTATCGGCAGTTTCTTATTTTTCTGCTTGCATAATTACTACAACACAACGTTCCAAATAAAAAAAACGATTTGCACTGCTTTCCTCGACCTCCGTACTCAACCCCGATTCTCACTACCGACGGCTGCACGTAAGGCCACTCCCTAGAAGCGAAATACATCCAGCGGCAACGTCTCGCTATCGCTACAAGGTCCTGTACCCCCCTCATGAGTGAGGGCTGAAACGAAACAAATGCATAAACACCGCATGATGCCTCACCCGCACGCTGACGTGCCAACAACGAAAACTATCCCGTCATTATGTTGCAAGCTCCGTGAGGCGAACATTGGGGGTTGTCACCCTTTTGCGCCTCCCGCTCCCTTCCTTTGGGTCTACCTCTAGGAGAACCCACGCCCCAATTGCGGCGTCTTCATCCGTGCTGTACGACTCCAACGGCATCTTCATGGTACGCATGCTTTCGTTACAGTGCAGGATAACGCGGTAGTCGTACTCCTGCCGCGAAGCGGGGTGAGATCTGCGACTAATTAACTCAACCCGAGTTTCACGAGAACCCCACGCTTCACTATCTACTGATCGAGCGGTCGCCGCTGTGTTTCTTATTAAGAGATTTCTTATTGTGTGACCCAGATTGAGCTATGTTTCTTAACCCTATTTTCTTATTTTTCGTGAAGAAGTGAGCCTCAATTTCTTAACAAAATAACTATTAACTGCGGGCGCCAACTGTATACAACATGTTGTCCCAAAGACGATGACATGTTGTTAAATGTCACAGTCTTTGACATGTCCAGCCGCAGACAGGCTCCACTTCGAACACATGCACCACAAACATGGTAGTCTGGCACATCCACCTCCGACGCGGCATGTGGTGCCATTTCAACGAGCCATGACCGCCAAGGAGGATAAATAATGAGGCTGGTAGCAACTTCGGTGCGCGGGTGCACTGGCTGTATCTTCTTGCGAACAAAGTTTTTTCAGGGCAGAAAAAATGGCTCGCACCCACGGCGTGTTTCATTTTGTGTTCATCATGTGCTCGTTTCCTGCGAACCCACCTCTCATGTGAGATGTGTGGCGTGGAAGAACATTTAATAGGTCACGCACAACAACATAAAACAGTGGAAACAATGGTACCGGGTGTCTTTGATCCCATCTCGCAAGCCGCGAGCTAAAAATCATATGCAATGTCCCGTTGGTACACTTTTCCCCAATATTTTTGTAGACAATTATGGCAGAGACACATAAGTGAATGCAACAAGACACATGAGAATGGCTTCAACACAAGGAGTAAATAGTACGGTTCCTGCGACAAAACAATCGAAAAAACCAATAAATTCGCATGAAAGAAAAAAGAAGCGAACGAAGCAGCGACGCCAAGAAGAGCCAACAGAACATAAAGGCGAAAAAAACAGAGCTGGAAGCACAAGGAAGCACCATCACCACCTCCTCCACTTGTTGAAGGGGGGCATTGCTGTGGGAAGCTACACACACACACATAGAAATGCCCAAAAGGAAAAAAAAACGTTGACAATAACTTCTCCTTTGGTCCAGGGCACGGACACCATTTGCCTAAGCGTTCAAAAAGGAACTACGATCTGGGTAACACACTAAGGTCCCTTCGGCATGAAACGAAGCAGCATGAAGCAGCATGTGGTACTCTACAAGCGTCCAAAGGACCTAAAGATAAGCAGCCCGGGTAGTAGGGCACTACGATCCCTTACGGGAGCAAATAACACGAAGGAAGTTGATAGTTGATTTGATGGGGGACGACGACGAAGACGACGACATGTCACAATATGTCCCCAGCCTTGACGCTCCAGTCGAACTTCCCCTGTCGGGAGATCACGATCCCCTCCTCGGTGGCCCGAAGCTCGTACGACGAGTCACTCTTTCGGAATCCAAACCACGAAGGGCCAGACTTCCGAAGCACGGTCATGCCGTCGACAGCCACCTCCTGCGCGGGTAGGAGGTGTTTGTCGTAGGGGGTGCCGCCGCAAACAAAGACGGTTAAGAGTGGGACTTAATGTTTTTATCGGATGTTTGGTCTTATGTAGCTAGATGTTAGACGGGGAGATAGATATCTTGTGCCTATGACACTGCATCTATCTTTTACCAACGACGAAAAAATACTTTCAAATAAGGGGGTGGGGGGCGCACGGACAAAGAAAGGCGGGGCGGCGGGGCTCACGCTGGCTGACAAGGCGGGAGGGGTACTGCCGCATTGTGCATCGAGAAAAAGAGCTAGCATCGAGAAAAAAAAAACAAAGTTCGCTCCTTTGGACAAACCACATCACCGGGGCTCGTTCCTAGCCTGCGACGACGTATTAACATTTGCATTTTGCATCTTGCCACAAAAGAAATACTGCTGCTACAACAGCCACACGAGTCTCCCTGCCGTCCAACACACCAGATTGCCCTTCTTGGTCAACGACAGCGTCGCTTCCCCCATGTGAGCTTCTGCGTGCTCTCGCGCCCTCCTCCCACGGAAGCCGTTCTTCCCGAAGGGCAGGAAGCCCATGAGGGTGTCCACCTTCCCCTCCTTGGGGAGTTCCCGTCCCTCGAGCGCCGCCTTCCTCTTTTCCAGGTTTGCCTCAAAGATCTCGGATCGAAGCCCCAGGGCGTTCAGCATCTTCCGCGAGTTGGCCTTGAGCAGCACGTGCTTCCCGTGCGGCACCTGGCCGGTCATGTCGTCATCTTTGTCGTGAGGAGCCTTGCCGTTCGCCGTCGCGTGGATGACGGAGCCGTCGATGGGGCTGGCGTACAACATGGAAGTCTTGGCAGGGTTGAGGAGCTTCCCCATCAGCACCTCCCCAACCTTCAGGATGAACCCAGGGTGAAACTGCTAGTCCGGGAGTGTGAGCTGCGGTTGCCGTTGTTGCCGTTGTCGTTGTCGTTGCCGTTGTCGTTGCCGTTGTTGTTGTTGTTGTTGCTGCTGCTGCCGTTGTTGTTGCTCTTACCGCCGCGCTGACCTTGTTGATGCTGCTGCTTCGGTGCCTCCTTCTTATGGACAGTCCACGAGTTGGACTCGGGAATCGGCGAAGGGCCCGTGCCCCCCCGCCGCCGGTCTTACCGTTCTCGTTGACTATGCTGCCGCGTGCTCGAACCTCACGGGACCTGGTCGTCATGGAGTCGGCCGTGGACGCACCCGCGGCGGGGTTATTGCCGACGTTCTCGCCAGCCGCAGCGTTGGGGTTGGCGGCAGAAGAAGGCGTGGAGGGAGCGGCGGGGGGAATAGGTGCGGGAACGTCGTTGACAGCAGCGGCGGTGCTCTTGTCGCCATCGTCAGGACCAGCGGCAGTGGAGATTGGCGAGCGGCTAGGGGACGTGGTGGAGGAGGACGACTTGTCGTCGGCGAGTTGTTCCGCGGCGGCAGCAGCAGCAGGAGGAGTAGGGTCGGAGGTCTGCGGAGAAAGGTCCTGGACAGTGGTGGCGGCGGAGTCGCTTCCCATGTTGCTCTTGGCATGCATGGCGGCCAGCTTACGGAGCAGGTTGGGGTCTGTAGGCATCGAAGTCTCCGCTGGGTCGGCCTCTTTCTGTTGTTGTTTGGGTGTGCCCGGTGCGTGCGGGGGAAGAGGCAGACGGAGAGAAAGAGCGAGAGAGAGAAAGAGAGGGCGTGGGGAGGCCAGTCAGTGCCTTCTACGTGCTGCATCAGCGGTACCAACAAGGACAAAGCTTCATTCAACTCTCCTTGTGCTGGGAGCGTCTGGTCCGGTTCGGCGAAGGTGAGAACTTTGAAACTGGCTCTGGTTTTCCTTGAAAAAATTATTTGAGCATGTCAGGGAGGAATGTCACTACTTCGAAAGAAGAAATGGAACGACCGTCGTCATGGTAATATGCTGCAAAGGTCAACAATTAGGACCTACCCGCCCCTATGAACTTGCTCCGGAGCGAAAGGTTTCTGCCAAACAAAACACAACTGAAATAAATAGTCTACTACCGCCCGAAACAAATAACATAATACCTTGTTGGCCGCGGCAGTGTTGGCGACGATGACGGACCTCGCGGTGAAGAAGATGGCCTTGTCGGAACGCACCGTTCCTTCACCTTCAACCGAGACGATTCCATGGTCGTCCACCTGGGCACGTGATGAAGCAGCAGCAGCAGCAGCAGCAGCAGGAGGAGGAGCAGAAGTCAATTGTTGTTGCTGTTGTTGCTGCTGCTGCTGCTGTTGTTGTTGTTGTTGTTGTTGTTGTTTGTTGTTGTTGTTGTTGTTGTTGATGTTGTCAATATTGTTCACGTTGTTGTTGTTGTTCTATCTTGTTGTTTCTGACATGAGTGGTGGTGGCGGTGATTCTCACGTAGGGGCGGCACAGAAGATGAAGTTTGCACTGTGTGCGTCTCGGAAACAACATGTGCTGTAGTTCATTGCACAAAAACAACCTCGCCGGGCCAGTTCCAGCTGGGGGGCTACTGTACATGATAGTCATCCCGTTTCATTTTACGGTTGAGATCATTTCAATTTTTAAGCGCCCTAAACCTTCTAACTTCTTGAAGGAGGGGGGCAATTTAAGGCACCGTGCCATGACGCCGAATATTGGTCGGGATCTACGACCGTCACTCTGTGTGCTCACCGGAGTTCCATCAAGGTGCTCCTTCACCCAGCTGGTAGCTTGGAAGTCCACGCTTCCTAGCACACGTAGGATGGGTTGGTCTTGCATGCCCTTTCAAAGCGGGTTCGTTCGTAGTCAACGGGCGTAGGGCACGGAGGGGGGGGTTCAGGATTTACTCCTCCGGTTGTCGCCAATCCACAAGAGGAGATGGGAGACACACACACACACACACAGAGAGAGAGAGANGAGAGAGAGAGAGAGAGAGAGAGAGAGAAAGAGAGAGAAAGAGAGAGAAAGTTCCACCCCAATTCACTGCACACACCTGCGCTGTAAATATGGTCTTTCTCAAACAAGGTATCATGTACCTGGCAGATTTTTTCACCGAAAACTTTACCGGACAAGCGGGTAGGCTTCTCCAGGTGACCTGGCAGGTGTACCATACGTTGCATAGGATGGGGCGGGTACTCTCCAGTACCGTTGCAATGAGTGACGGGCAGACTTGTCTTTCAGCCTGATATGCGCTTGCCTTGCCCTTTTTCATGTTGATGGTCGGTGCTCTGATCGTAAGCTCCGCCCCGGGGTGTACAAGCAGTGCGATCCCCGCGGTGTCCAGCGCCTCGTGTGAACGGATCACCGTGTTGCCCGTAATTTCGATGATCTGTGTACAATCAAGAAATAAAGGGGAAATGACGAAATGACGAAATGACGGGTGCGTAGTAAATTCATTTATTCATTTAACATATATTAATATGCGACATGGATGGGTACATATTGATATTTTACCCTCCATCAGACATGGTCGCGAGAGTGCGAAGCACTATAAAAACCAACAGTCCTGTATCGCGCATGATGGATCCATCCCATGCAGCTCTTTTTTGTCTCTAGACAATATTGAGTCGTTCATGAAGAAGATGTTTTCATCACGCCCATTTTGCGTGAGGCGAACCTGAGAGGATCCTGACACTTCCTTCTTACGAGACATATACTTCGAAGTACACAGGCAGTAGTGACCCGATAGCAATCGCTATTCAGAGGATCCAAAGGCAACCAACCCGACAACCTCACGGACAGCAGTGGTGGTTTTCTGCTGCGTACACACATACGTACATACGGTATTCTACATACAAGGTGCGCGCGCACACACACATTCTGTCGATGCGAATCCGCGATGTGTTCAAACGTCATGGGCTACTGATGGACGAACTTCCACCAGGGCCAATCGGTTGGGATCTCTGCGACAACGATAGTAGTGAGGGTAATTCTTTTGGGAGTGACGAAGACGAAGGAAAGGGAAAGGGAAGAAAGAAGGACGAAGACGACGATGGAGCAGGAAAACCTAGAGGAGTGGAAGACAGCAAAGGGTTTGAGCCAGATGACCTTCCCCACAACAAGAAACGTAGGGCTAGGGAAGAACTGCCCAGAGATTCTTCTTGTCGAAATGAGGATCAGAATGATAGTAGCGAAAACAAGGAGGATACTGGTGAATGTACTCCTAAACGAACTCGACTACTAGGTAATAGCCTTCCTTGGTAGACGGGTGCAGTTTCTTCTGTTGCTGCTGTTTCTGTTTTTGATCCGAAGGATAGTTAAGCCTCCCCCATGCTGCCCCCTCACGGGGTCCCAGTTCATGGTAGATAGAAGTGTTTTGTGTTTTCAACCGCACTAAGACTGACGTCTTTTCATTGGTCAGCCAGTTAGCGCGGTCGACGCAAATAATAAAAACACACACATAGCGGTAGGCCGGCTAGATCCGTGGTGACTATAGCGAATCCGAGGAAACACACAGCAGCTGTAGAGGCGCAAGCCCTCGTGCGCTCATCAGCAGAAGAAGTATGATCTCACAATTTTCGAAGCGGTATCGTAGCCAACCGCAGTCGAGTTTCGAGCCAAAGAAGCCGGATCCTACCTTCACACTCTGGCAGGAAACAGGATCTTGGTCGCGGGCTCCGCGCAACGGCGCCTGTAGTGCCTAAGAACTGTGGCAACAAACTAGGATCATGCAGCAGGCCAACGATTCCTCCTCCTCCTGCCAAGACCCAAACCTGCACAACACTCACGCTTCCTCTTCTTCGTTCTGCCCCAAAAACTGCTCCAACTCACTGCTTCGTCTGCATGCAGCTGTTGAGAATGATGGCCTAGCCGGAGGGGTTCACGGAAGAAGTGCGTCCTTCTCGCACCTTCGTCGTGTCGCACTCGATGGTGCCGAGGAACGTCAGGGTTCCTCCAGCGGTCAGGGTGGCCTCATCCGAGATCTAGTCGCAGTGCTTGATCCACGTCATCTTGTCGGGGAAGGAGTAAGCTTGGACCGCGCAGCAGGCGGCGAGGAAGGTCAGCACGCCAGACAGCAGCACATCGTGGAGTTTCATTCTTGCAGTTCTCTCCGTAGAAGGAACACCCGCGTCGCGTTGTTCTGTTCGGCTCGAAAGATCAAGCTCAAGATCGCAGCGCAGGATGTGTCCTGGGTGGGAAAGAAAGTCTTGTGGTTCAGGGGGAGAGGAATGAGTGATGTCGACAGAGCCGACCGCCTGACATCCAGGGAAGAGGTAGAATACCGCGTCCGATCACGCCTCGTTTGATGGGTAACCTCGTGCTCCTGGCCGTTACAAGTTCGTATCTTGCACCCAGTGTGGTCTCCCTATCTATCGATTGCTGCTGCGGACTCTCAAAAAATAAGTCAAAGAGAAGAGGCATTCGTCCTTGATTCGTCCGACGACATTTTTCTCACGAGTTGGAGCTCGCTCAAAGACAGTCAGACAGACAGAACTGTTTGCCAGCTTCTGGTGGCGAAGTGTGTGCCGTAGTGTGCGTCTCGTTTCCCTTCTTTGTCTATGCGCAACCTCAATTGAAAGACACAGACAGGTGTTCACAAAATCACGACTTTATTACTATAGCGATGTTTCAGTTGACTTCATTATTGGGCCGCGAGCTTTGCATATACTGCTGTAAGTCGGTCCATCCAATGGATTGATACGGGAAGAAGAAAGATTCATCTGTGCACAGACGGAAGCCATATAGTCTATATTCTGGGTATTTTTTCTTTTTTCTTCTTTTTTGTCTCCCATTATTGGACTCTGTCGTCTGGCCCTCTGGCCCCTATTCTCCACTTTTACCAGCTAGATAGACTACCCAACCGGGGTCACATAGGAGGGGGGGGGTTTGACCCCCTCCTGCGGTTCCTGCCTGAGATATTTTTATCGCGAGAAGGGTACAGCAATCATTTCCCTCGGGATTATGAAAGTAGATTATGGTT